CGCTCTGTGTCTTGTCCCCCCCCCGAAGGGGGGGGGGGGGGCTGCTGGACTGGCTGCTATGAACGCGCTAGAAATGATAGCTTTTAACCCTTGGTTTTTCTTTACTGGAGATGGAAATGCAGTCCTGAATCATCAGGGGGAATCATCCATTCGAGGCCTTCGTTAATGCTCCAAACCAGCACTTTGGAAGCAGAGGAAAATTCTAATTTTCTTCACAAAGCTTGGGGCCTAGGCAATCTTAGCTATTAGGCAACGAGGGCGGGAGACAGAAAGAGGCAAGCTTTCAGAAGAGGTCTTCCAAATTCACTCCCTATTACCCTGCATTGTTTACAGTAAATCCTCTGCGATACCAGTAATCTAGCTTTTCAGCAGCACACAATTATACTACTGTCAAGTCTATGGAGCCTCTGATTGGTGACAGTGCAAGAGACCTTCTGGTATTGACATGCATCATCAAGCATCTTTTGGTTTTTTCTTCCTCATTCTTCTCATAATGTGGCCCTAACCTCACACACACAAAATGACAATGGGAAACAGCTGGGAAGAAACAAGGACTTGCCAGGTAGTTCAATACCGAAAGGCTGAGCAGCATTCAGCAACTGCTCTGACAAAGCCAGTATTTACAAACTCCTCATAATCTTCAGTTGCTCTCAATTATAAATGATCAGCAAATATTTTGATAGCCTAATATATTGCCATTGCAGATCAGAGGCCATTTGAGTACACTCATTAGTAAGGAAGCGCTGCCACTTGGCAGAACCGCGTTCTGTGTAACTGTCCTTCTTTTTTCCTTTCCTTCTTTCAAGCCCTGAAATGGAACTCCTTCAGTTAGGCCATAATTCGATAAAACAAGTTTAAGGGCTGCTAGTATTGGATCAAGAGCACTGCAGCCACATGATACAAAGTGCTGATCACTGTCATTGAAAAACGTTTGACAGAATAAGTTTGTACTGGCAGACTTAATGCCAGATCAGGTGTCGGTACTCTGTACCGCTCTTAACTTCATGCTGGATCACGGATCATTTATATTCCCACAGCTAGCATAAAGTTAGCAGAGAAGCATAAAGCTAGGATAAATTCATATTCCCTGGTCTGTTTAAGTCAGTAGATTCATGCACACTTTATGACAACATCAGTTTGCATTGCTGTGGAAAAAGGCAATGGTAAGGCAATTGATTCTGGGTAAAACTATTTTTTTTTTCTCTGATCAAATTAGCTTTCTTCCAGATCATTTCCTTTGTTTGGTTCAGCATGTGGCTGTGCTACTGCTTGTGCTAGCATGGAGGAGGCTGCACAGGCGCAAAAGTAGGCAGGGGCAAGAAATTGATATGACTGCTCGTTTTGGCAGCAGCATCAGATTATATGGGTTTAATATGTTCATGTACCTGTGGCTTAATTTGATAGAAATGTAACCGTGCTCACGCCTTCCCTAGATGAGATTTGTACTACAGTAGGTGACTTGTGCACCAGTATTACTTATGATGGACCCATAGTCTCAGACGACACAACAAGATTCAGTGTAGTCATATTGTCTCAAAGCAGTGTAAAAGCAACAGGGAAAGGCTATTCCTGGTCTTAAAATTTGTGTTCCCAAATGAAAAATATGAACAATATTTTCTGTACTGCATTCTGGTCAACAAAGGAGTGACAAAGCTTAAATATGCTACACCTACAAGAGGGTTTGTCGATTGGAGATGCGTAGAATGACTATGCTTCCCCCTCCCCAGGAAAAGGTTTTTAGAAAATGTCAGTCATCGCTTGCTTGCTTCCTTCCTTCTCCTTTTCCTGTCCCATCCCCCCTATTACAGACTGAAGGGATGTAAACGCTATGTGCTTGATTGGGTCTATTCTAAGTCACTGTCATACCAGGAACTCAAGAATATTGCAAAGCAGCATTCAAAATGCTGCCTTCACTCTCTGCCCTGCCTTCACACTGTCCCACAGCTTTCTCCAATTCTGTCACAGACTACCCTGTGCTGGATTCAGCGTAACGTGTTTCCCTCAGTTACCACTACTCCGTTTTATAACATATTACAAAAATACACAACATCACATACAGTCCTGCAAACACAGATCACCATCACTGTGCTCACACCTTCCCTAGATGAGATATCTGCTTATTCACTTTTGTTTAAGGAAGACACACTACAATATTTTCTAGGAAGAAAAACCTTGATGTCCTGTCATAAGTGCTAATCTACCTATTGAAACTTTCTGTTCATTTTCATATGGCTAAAATAATCTTTCTCCATTTTTGTCTCAAATTGGGAAATAGCTGCCTTCCAAAACCTACAGGGAGGTTATCAAGGAGACAGAGCCAGGCTCTTTATAGCAGTCCATGGTTGGAGGAAAAGAGACAGTGGACATAAATTGAAACAAAAGAGGTTCCAACTGGACATCAGGACAGTCAGGCTATGCAGTCTGTGTCCATGGACATCTTCAGGCCCAGACAAAGCCCTGAGCAACCCAATTTGAGCTCTTAGCTGGAAGTTGGGCTAGAGAACTCCCGAGGTCTCTTCTGACCGGAATAATTTCATGCTCATAAGAAAAAGCTTTTTTTTTTTTTTTTTTTAAAAACTCCAGAACACAGGGGAAGTGATTTCTGTGTAAACTCCTGTGTTTAAGTTGATAAGGCCCTACTTAATACTGGGGGTTTTCAGTATATAGAGGCATAGTGATATATCAATTCAAGATTTTGATAGCTAGTTCCCATTCATATTTTCTGAGATGAAAGAAGCATGCCTTGTTTGCAAATAAGAGTCTCAGTCTTCTTTGCTAGCAATTCCAAAATTGAAATACCTAATCTGTGAAACGTATACAGATGTGATAGTTTAAATCATATTTTCAAGGACATTAACTGTGTTATAACAGGTCTGAATAGACTTGCAGGTAGGCAGGTGTCTTGGTTACGGTTATAAATGCGTAATTCATTTTGCTCCTGAGGGAAACAGGTGACCATAGGGTCTAACAAAATCTATGTTAATTGTCTGTATAAATTACGTTCATAGCTTCTTTAAATTACCCAGAGTCGCTCATTCAGAAATAACGAAAACTTGATAAGCAGATCTGGTGCTTTTTGTAGCTACAGCGCTGTGCTTACATGTTCTTTGTTTTGTGTGCTGTTGAGAAATTTAGCTTTGCACACAGGCCGGGTAAGCACAGAAATAAAATTTCTCTGAAAAGCTCAACAGAACTGGAAGTCCTCAAGAATCTTTCAAGTAAGGTTTGTCAATCTCAACAAATAGTAGACGGGTAAAACTAAGCCATTACTTTACAAACAGTTCTACACATTGACATTGCTGCTTTACCATTCCTGTTCTAAATCAAATCCATGATTTCCCTTATTTCTCTCAAAGTTTGACCGGTGCAGTCAGCTGCCCTCAGGGCACTCTGTCTCTGCGGGACAGATGGTCTCTCCACCCGGCAGTTCGGCTTTAAAAGGGCAACTTTTGTTGCAAAGCCCTAACACTCTACTTTGAATGTCCTGAATTTTCCCATATACCTTCTCTCTTGCCAGGACAAGCGAGGCGCGCCACTCTGGGGCCTCCAGAAGACCCATTAGTGGAGGAGTGGTTGTGGGCACTTTATTTCCCCATTTTGGCAGGACTTGAAAGACTGATCAGCTTTCCACACGGTGCTCGTTTGCTAGAGTATCCATCACCTCACTGAAACCAGTCATATGTGAAAAGATACAAAGCAGAGTAGGCAGGAGGCTGAGCCGCAACAATGTAAAAATACTTTGAAATGCCCTATACAAGCTAAGGAAACAATGTGGAGGGCTGAACTTTGAGAGATAAGTATTTCCCAGAAAGGGTTAATAATGA